AAAAAAAAAAAAATACCTGACAGCAAAAAAATGGGCATTCTAGTGGCCCAGTCCTTACCACCAGGGGATCATGAACCACGGTAAAGGTGGCGATGTCTCAACTGCCTACGCGCCGGAGTTGGACGCTCCAAGGAACTAATGAAGAAGTGGAGCCGCACCACTAGTTCAACCACCTGCAACTGCAGCAGAGCCTCAGACTATGCAACACTTGCTGCAACGCCTGCTGCTCAAAGGCACACGTACAATGGAAGATCTCGCAAAGTACAATAAATGAGCACAAGCAGGCGTAACAAAACGGTTAAATGTGGTGTAGAGACATGAGAAAATTTCTAATTAACATGCAATTCCTCTAACACCCCATCAAGATTTCAGATAGAGATTAATTACAAGTTCCCTGGCATGATATTAACACTACACAAAACACCTGTATACCAATATATTTTCCATCAGGAACAATTCAGCTCTTTGCAACAGTTTCAAAGTTATGAGTCATCTGTAGCCAGACTGATAACTTACTAATAGTTAGCAAAATTAACTGTCAGCTACACTTCAGAAAATACTAGGAAGAATTCCACCACTGGATATCTGTTTTTAAATGATGTGGTCAAGCAAAGATGTTTTATGTCTGCAAGTCTCTGAATGGACAGGAAAAATATATTTTTTAAAATTATTTCATTATTAGTTGAAGCATAAATGTTCTTCACACATGGCACAAGGGAAAAAAAAGGAACATAAGCTCCTCGATCCAAAGACCACGTGGATTTAACAAATAACTCAGTAAATAAAGTTTTACATTAGGGAAAAGCAAGACTCACTGCTGATAAGACCATTTTAAAGAACCAGCTGTTAGAGGTTGCTGAAGAATTTGGATCAGAATAATTCTGGCTCAGCAGTTAAGTGGCATAGATGCATGGCTCATTTCTACACGTGTTGGATGGACTCATCCTGCCTTCCATTATGACTGTAAATTCCTGTAGACTCTGGTGAATTTGTACAGACAACTCAGAGCCATAATCTCTGAGACTAGTTACTATAATAGGAACCTACCCACCATTCAGATTCTACATTGAGTTTAGAGGGCTTAACAATTTAGAAACACTTTGCTAGTACTTATCAAGTGAATGAGTTCAATATGAAGTCTAGGAGACAACCGGGAATCCTAGTTTTTTTCTAGCCTCCATACTGTGCTTAAAGGGTGCTGCTTTGACAGTATTTATGCCCATGTGTGCCACAGTATGACCCAATCAGAGGTCTTACGCCTTTATTTTAGAGACAGGAGTCTTCCCATGAATCTCTGGAACACTGGCACATTCTGAAGAGGGAATGGGTATAAGAGGGCAAATTGTTTGTTACACTGGCGCAAGACAATTGCAAGTGAAGATATGCCACAGCACAGTGGACTCCGTTTTGCTTAAGCTTAATAAAAACTTTGTTAATGTACACCTATAAAATGCAACTGTCTGTTGGTTTTGGGGGTATACAGCTGCTGTTTCCCTGGAGACTTAATTTGCTGTTAACTAGGCTTGAGGAACGTAAGGCAATAAAAAGGTTTGGGACCACATTGGCTGCAGACTTTAAATGATGCTTGGTCATTGTCTAAGACAAATAGGGATGTATTTCAAAGCTCTGCTTCCTGCAGTCCCTTTGTGGCACCTGATGAAGCAAGCCATTCCTTATGAAAAGTTCATGCATCTCTGATTTAGTCTAGTCTAAGGTGAGAATATATGCCACCTTCTGTCTGACTTCAAATTAATGCAGCTAACTATGTCCCACTAGATTTTACTGTTAGTCAAAGATTTAGGACATACGTCAATCAACTGAAAACTAAATACAAAACTTTTGCTTACTCCTTTTGTAGAGGGAGGATTCTGTAGGATCAGGCAAGGTTAGTTTTTGTTCTGGCAATTCAAATAAAGGATGATTTAGCAAACCCCCTCATGTTAAGAACCCATTGCTGCCAATGTACACGGGGCTTCTGAGGTTGGGCCCACAATATCGTAATCATTACCAGTAAGCAAATAAATTCCTACGTGGCCTCTGTTTACCAGTCCAAGAGAAATATAGTTGTCAAGAGAGCAAGTCAGAAAAATGACATTTAGGAAAAGCATTTTTACTTCATGCTTCCGAGTGGAGTTTAAATTGAATCAATTTAGAAATGGCCAGAAGGGTTTTTAGCAGGCCATCAGACCATGATGTGCTTGTTCCCCATTTAAAGGCCATGACATGGAAATTACCTTTTAAAGACCTAATAACCAATGCGTGTTAGGAATTCACTGTAAATGATTCTGATAACAAATAATTAAACTAAGGCATTTGACCCATGTAATGAAAGCTAACTGAATTATTTAAAAACTCATCAAGAAAGAACATTGTGCTTCTTATTTTTCTTCAGGTTTGAAATACTAAAAGTCAGGTCTGTTTTGCAAAGGCCTGAAAAGTTTTATTTGTCCAGAAAAACCCACATTTTGATTTTGTTTATTTGTATGTTTCTGTAAACTTTTTTTTTTTTTTTTTTTTTTTTTTATGATTATCTGAAATGGATCTCAATTACTACCCTCAGGTAACTGCTGGCATCAATTTTCTCTGATTTAACTGTAGGAGGAGGAAACAAATTTCTGTTTCTCAGGCACTGAGGAATGAAGACAAACTTGAAGTTACTTCGTACTATTTTGGCAAGTCCTTTCTGCACACAATTCCCTTGTAATAGCTCGCACTGAAGTAAAAAAAAAAAAATAAGATCAACTAATTACATTTCACAATGGAAGAAACTGATATTGGGTCAATTAACTTGTTTCAGCTGCCCTTAAGTCTTCTGGCGCTGGTATCGAAATACAAAACTGGGTATTTATATTTGGAGGAATACAGGTTTCACGTTGAAAACAGAATAACTACTATAGAAAATCCTTTCAATAGCACTAGACTCCTGGAAGGGTAAGCTAGTCTGAAGATGTGAGGCTGTCTTGGAAAACTTCAAATACTACTACTGCTACTAGTCTGAACCAGGGCAAATTAAGGTTTTCTACTTCAGTGCTGAACTAACACACATGGCCAACATACATTTTCAATTGTATAAGAGCTCCATATGCTAACGTACAGCCAAAGTTTTAGCAACTGGCTTCCTCAAAAACTTTTCCACTTGGTCAGCAGTACATGTGATATTCCCCGAATCAAGGACTCCCAAATCTCTACCTCCCAGAACATCCACCAGTTCTGCCACCCATCTAAGTTCAACCGCTAGCCCAGTGCCTCTCAATCCTCCCCATGCTCTTCTTACCAGCACCTAAGCAAGGTTCATCAGGCTGATGCCTTACCTTACAGCTGTTCCTAATAGACAGATCAGCAATAGCAAACAACTGCAGTAAAAAGCAAGCTTGTGCAGTTTCTGGCTGCACAACCAGGTACCAGTAAAGAGAGGCAAAGCCAAATTGGTGTTGTTGCTATCCTCCTCCTCACATTCTGCAGGGGGAGGGATGCAGGGATTACAGCCATGCATCCCAAGTGCACACCTAGCAGCACCGAGGCAAGGAAGCCAAGGGGAAGTTCCCTGACAGGCAGCTGCTAGGTGCATTGCAAAAGAACTGAAACAAGTTTAACCAGCCTCAGTTTTCCAGATGAACTGTAAGAGTATTTTGCCATATCCCCACCGACTTAACCCATTCCTATCAACAGTCATCACACTCCTAGGCTAAGGTCAGCTTAGTGATTCCAAGGCTGGGGTTAAAGAGCAGTTAGAAGCGTAACCCCCTAACTTACCCAAGTCGTTTTACTTAAAGTGGGCAAGAAAGAAAGAACCTGTAAGCACCCCCCAGCCTCTTGGCACAGAGTGGTGCACTGACAGCGTTATATACAGTTCGCATTTGTTGAAAGCAATTCACCTTTTCACGCAGAAAGTAGGCTAGTAACACATTTTTTAAAGTGGCGAGCACACATTTTCTTCACTGAGCTCAGAGGTACTGAAGAGATGACTGACCTTTATCACACCAAGTGCAAAAATGATTTTTTTTGACTAGGTGCTGCTTCAACTCTGAATTAGAGGATGGACATATTTTTCCCTAACACCACTGTCAAACAACAAGTGGCATTTCTTCTTTATGCTTAGACACGAGTGATTTAATTAAAACAATGCAAATGCATCTCTACAAGAGATCTAAAACATTAAAAAAATCCTGCTTGGCTACAAGAGTTCACCCACGTAAACATTTTTAATATTTACACATCATAGGGAAGTTGAAGTTTTTTAGGTTTTTGGTTTTTTTTTTTTAAATAACTTCCACAGATGTCCCATTTCCTCAGAAAAAGCTGTTACGTTGTTACCTCTGAAAAACAGCTTTTCTGAGATCACAAGATACCCAAACTGCAAATAACCAGGTAGCTGGACTTCGGTGTGTTTCACTTTTTTTTTTTTT